TACCGACCCGGGGGGAGCTCTGCCGGCATCCTCCTCCTCCTCCCGAGCCCGGGGAGAAGCTCCGATGGAGTCAGAGGCAGGGGAGAGAGAGCATCGGAGAAAGAGGAATGAACTCCAGAGTGGCCCCAACGTGGGGCGCAAGTCCCAGGAGTCCGGGAGAGGGGAGCAGCGGGTGGACACCCGGGGCGAGCGCTGGTCCTGGGGCTCTCGTTGATGCTGCACCGATCTCCCTCGGAAAAGGGGGCTGGAGAAGGAGCGAGGGGGCTGAAACGTGCTGCCCCTGCAGCAGGACTTGCCTTTTCTGCCTCTGTTTCCAGTTTCCTGATTTCTAACGAAATGAGGGGGAATGAGCCAGGGTGTCCCAGTCCCCGGCCATGGGGAGAGCTGGAGGCTTGAGCCCCGCTGTACGGGTCAGGCCAGGGGAGATGGGGACAGCGAGGTGTCATTGTCATCACTTTATGTCCTCTTGTGCAGGGGAAAGATGAAGCAGTAAGCACTCTGGACGGAGGACCTGCTACCGCTGAGTGAGACCCACCTGCGTGACGGCGGAGCCCCCGCAGCCCCCAGCCCTGCCCGCAGGCAGCACCAGCCCAGGAGCCTGCTCCACGCCGAGCACGTCCCTGGGCAGGGGGCTCGGGAGAGCCAACGTGGCTCATCTCAGCGGGACGTGACCGAGATGAGCATGGTAAAGAGCCTAGAGCGGCTGGAGCAGCGGCGGGCTGTGATGGTGGCTGCCCAGGAGACTTCTCAGGCCTGGTCTTCACTGGGAGAGGAGGGGCCGGTTTGTTTTTTGTTTCTTTTCTTTCAACCGAGCTTTGCTGAAAGGCAGCGGGCGACGTGCTGGAGCCTGGGGGAGGCCGCAAAGGGCTGCTGCGGTCCAGCGGGGGAGCGGAGCGGGGCAGGGGGGGCAGGAGAGGAAACAGGGGGAAAATGGAGGGAAGTGCCGGAGCGCGGGAGTGCGGCGAGAGCCGGAGAGGGGCCAGGCACAGGAAACGGGCAGGGGAGGGGAGAGCCTGCCCTTCTTAATGAGCATATCTGCCAAAATGGGCTCCCTTTCTTACTAAACTGCCAACCCAGCAACTCTTTTCTTCCCAGGATTAGGGGGAAATGTTCAGTTTGGGGAGAGTTAAAGGCCATTTGTGTGCGCCATAGCCCAGAGATAGCCCAGAGCCCTCGGCAGGAGCCAGGCTGGAGGGAGCGAGCCCCGGCCATTGGGGTCCTTTATTTCTTTTTGTTATTCAAACAGGGCTTGGGTGATGGCTGCCATCCCAGCCATCATGTAAAACGCTTCCCTCCAGCCTTTTGATATGCATGCCCCTGTCTGGAGGCAAAGTCCGGCTGTCTCCCCTGCGATCTCTCCACCTACTGGGGAAACGCACCTGATAAGGGCCACTCTGTTTTCTCAAGAAGGAAAACTGAAACCAGCCGAGCCAGGCTGGGGGAGCAGCCCTGGTCCTGGGGGCAGCGGGGTCCGGAGGCACGGCCCTGCCGGGACGCCTGGCAGGTGAGCACAGCCGCTCTGCCTGCTCTGCCCGCTCCGGGGCAGCCGGCGAGCTCGGCTGGGCAGGGACCAGGAGTCTCTCTAAGCAGTTAATATCGTGGCATGGTCTTTAACCAGTTTGGCAAACCTTAAAGAAACTGGTATTGCAAAACTAGGGCGGGATCCGGAGTCAGCGGGTTCATTGTCTCGGTGGGGTATCGCTGCAGGGGACGTCCTGGTCACCAGGCAGTGTCAGGGCTGCCGCTAGCGCCAGTCTCTTGGGGAGCGTTGAGCATCGGAGCTGGAATTCTGCATTACTTTATTCTTCGTGGATTCTTGTGCGAAGCGTATGGCTGCAATGCATGCCTGTATGTTTGCAGTGTGTTAAGCAGTGCAAACACCGCGGTGCTGTTTTTCTCCTCCTCCCGTGAGACAGAACATGTGAGGGGAGTGCTCTGTTTCTTATTATTTTCGTAATGCCCTGTGTGCACATGTTGGTGTGCGTTTCTGTGAGGGGAGGCGAGGACAAAGGGCTGAGCCTGCCTCCTGAGCAGGAGGTGGTGAGGCTTGCGAGGACGGCGGCTCCTGCGGGAGATCCTCGGCAGTTGATGGGGCAGGGGGCCGGATGGCCCTCTTCAGCAGGCAGGACAGTCTTGAGCGTGCGGCTTTATTGCTTGGTGCAAAAGGCAGCAGCAAGAGGAGAAGGGATGGGTACTGCAGTCCCGCTGCCTCGGGGTAGGTTTGTGGGAAAGCAAGAGTTTAACTAGCTTTGCAGTTTGGGTCGTGGTGTGATGTTCCCTTTCCCGCTTGCGTATCGGAGGATGGTGACGGGATGTCCTCGAGTGATCTCGGGCGGTGCAGCTGATGAAGTGCACGGAGCAAGCAGTGCGTATGCTCCTGCGTATGCACTGCTTGCTCCTGCACGTACACTGCAGGCCCTGCCTGAACCCGGTGAGGTGAAATGGCTGTGCTTAGGCCGGTGCCTGCGGCCGGGTCCCGCGGACCAGCAGAGCCCTGGTGTGGGGGTCTCCAGCTCTGCCAGGGAGCGGTTGCTTCCAAAGTGAACTCTTTTTTCCCACTTTATAATTGGAACAAAGACGATGTCGGAGTTGCCTGAGCTCTCAGCAAAGCTGAGCTTGGCACATCGGGTGCTCAGTCCTGGCTGCACATCCCCCAGAGCAGCTGGCAGGGCTGCCCTTCCCGTGGGGTGGGGTGAGAGACTCGGCCGCTGCGTCCCTTCCCCAGCGCAGGGCTGGCAGGGACATGCTCGCCCGATCGCCTGTTGCGGGCTGGCCGTGCTGAGCACTGGGCAGCTCCCGGGGCTGAGAAAGGAAAAACCATTTTGAGGTGCAAGTTTGAACCTTCTGGGCTCAGGCTCCCGTCTGAGGCTGCCAAACAGGCTCCTGACAAAGGACCAAATGCAAAGGTCCTCTGAAGGTCCTGGTGGGGTTTTGAGAGTGCAGATGTTTTGCAGGGCTGGGAGGTGGCTGTGCCTGCTCCTGTCCTCCCTGGACATTAACAGCCTCATGCTGCCCCATCTCCCTGTCCCCAGCCTCTCCTCTGGGTCACCCTCGTGCTAAGAGAGCAGCATATCCTCTCACACCTCGCTGTATGGATTCCTGAGTGAGATTCGCTATTTTTTGTGAGATTCACTATTTTTTTTGAAATTTGCTGGTTTTTGTGGCAGTATCACTGCCGGCTATGGTCACTGCCGTTCTGCAGCATCGCAGGCTGGGGAGGGGCAGCAGACCCTGGAGGAGCTGACCCGGCTGTGCTGCACCGGGACGTGTCGCTGCATCCGAGAGCATCCAGGGCCGGTGTTTGCGGGGCCGGCATGCGGGACTGGCCGCCTGGGCGGGGGGCAGCCGGGGGCAGCCCAGCAAGTCTGGGCAGCTCCCAGGAATTGTTCGCCGGGTCTGGGAGCAGATGTGCTGCAGCAGTGGGATTTCTGCACACAGCTGTAGGGGTTTACGCAGCTTTAGACTCCCTCTGGTGCCATTCCTCTCCTTCTCATCCCTTTGTTGAGGAGATGTGTCTGTGGGGGGAGGCAGGACATGCACCCGGGGGCTCTGCCTGTGGCAGTGGGTGCCGGACACCTGTTTTTCTTTGTGTTTGGATGTTACCGGGGTTTTAACGCTGCCCTTGGCATCTGAAACATCAAACCCCGACTGGTCTTTGTTTGTCAGAGGTGCTGACAGATGATCTCAAAGCAGAAATCTCAATTGTTAGGGAAGCAGTTGGAGGCGATGCTGAGCGAGAGCGCCGGGGAGGGGGCAGCGGGGCTGGAGCCCGGGGTCTCTTTGGGGTTGGGCGGGGGGGGGTGCTTTTGCTTCCTAACAGGGCCTTAGGTGGGTAAAGCCCTGCTTGCTCCTTCGCTCGTTGAGCTGAGTTACGTGCTCCTGAAATGACTGTGCTGGCAAAGAGGCAAGTTGCAGCACAGATTCATAGCCCAGCAATGAGGCAGCTTCGTTAGCGTAGTCCCGGGTGCCTCTGGGAGAGCCTGGGAGCTTCCACTTCCAAAAACAGGATCCAGGGAGGGCACCCGAGGGAAGGCAGAGGCATCTGGGCGCAGGCGAGGCATGCCCCACCTCTCCCGGGGGGATGCCTGGCTGGGCTTTATCTGCGCAGCAGCAGCTCCCGGGGCGGGGGGACGCTGGCACTCGCTTCCCCCGGCCCCCGGGGCAGGGGGTGGTGGTGCGTGAGTGCTGCCGGTGCAGACCCCTGCTCTGCCTCTTTGCCCTGGGGTGGGGGAGCAGAGGCTGGGAGGGGGGCAGGAGGAGTTTTCTCCCTTTGGGGGAGTTTAACTCACTGCAGGCACCAGGACTTTGCCCCCCATGGCGAGCTGTCTGCCGCGTCCCGCTGC